CGGCAACCCCGCGGGCGCTGATAGGGCGCGCCTTAAATGCCACGAGTGCGACTTCGTGGAGCACCTCGTGCGCGACCGCCCTGGGCGTCGCAACCAAGGGCGCCGTCTATTCTCCTTTCGCGCCTGCGCCCCAGCGCCATCATCGCCGCCAACATCCTCACCACTTGCGCTTGCGTTTCTGGGCCAGCAGGGGCTGCCGGGTCTTTCTGGGCAGCGGCCCGTGCTGGGCGCGCGCGCAGCGCGAATTGACTTGATCTGACAGCCGACTCCAGCAGCGCCCGCGCTGCGGCCAGCAGCGCCAGCGGCAACTCCAAGTGCGCCACTAGGCGGCCGCAGCGATTGGTCACGCAAGATAGGCACATCATCCTCATCTTCGTCATCGGCCCACCCTCGCAGCGCCGAGCTACGACGACTACTACAGGAGATGGCAGACCTCATGGGCCACGTGCAAGACTCCGCGCAGACGGCGGGCCCTGCGTCCGCCCGCGCGGCAGCGGCGGGGGAAGCAGCGCCGGCGGCGCCATCAGCTTCAGCAGCCCTGGCAGCTTCGCCAGCACCACTGCGACCACCATCGCGACGTGAGCTCCACGTGGCCGCCTCGGTCCGCGCCGGCAGTTGCGTCGCCGCCACTGCCGGGGTCTCCCCAGGAGATGACTCAGTTCAGCCAGAACAGCTCCGTCGGCGTGAGCCAACCGTCTGGGGGAGTGGCCGCGCGGTTCGCCGGCCGCGAGACACGGGCGGCCAGCGGCGGCCGATCCAAGCGCAACGCGGGCACCGCCTTCGACCGCGCCTGACGACGACGCCTCGCCGAGCTCCACAGCACACAGCTATCAGCAAATACTTGAGCTCACGCGGCAGCAGGGCGAGCAGCGACGTCAGGCCGCACAGGGCTGGACAGAAATATGCGCGCGTTAATGCTCCTCTCGCGCTGGCCGCGGCGCCTGCCGAGCCCCACTCGGTCTCCATCCAGCGCGGCGAGAGGGCGATGCGCTTGCAGAGCCGCCACATCTTGCACCGCGCATGTCATCTGCAACTAATGCAGAATACAAACGCCCGCTGGACGCAGTGTCCGGCGCGCCGCGGCCCGGCCAACGTCGTCGCCGATTCCCGCTTTTGCATGCAGATAGTGCTCGAATGGGCCTGGCACCTGCGGCGTCGGCCAGCGCGGCAGCAGACAAAGGCGTGCCGGAGGAGACAGCGACTCATCAGGACATCGCGCAGTCTCCACGACCGGCCCCTGGTCCCAGGGCGTTTCGGCCAGATTGCAGGCAGTCGCCGGGCAGTGCGTCCAGCATCGCGTCCGCATTAGACGCGGCGGCGTCCGTCGACGCTTTCCTGGACTGGCGCGCGCCGCCACGCAGGCCGACGCCCCCGCAGTGGCCGACCTCGTCGGGCACGGGCTCGAGCACATCGAACGACCCGCCGCGCTACTTGGCGAGCACCGATCTACCGGGGCGCTAGTCAGGCGTCATAGTCGACGCCGGCGCTTGGACCAAAAATCTGGGGACTGCGTTTCGCCGTGAATTTGGCCCACAGGGCACAGCAGGCGAGGCCGCGGCCCACCGAGGAGAAGTTATCACCCCCGCTGTGCTTTGCAGGCTCTGGGAACGCATGCGCGTCGGAAGACGAGCGTGGAGACGTCGAGCTGGACATCGCCAAAGTGTTGCTGGTCGCGCCGCCAGAACACATAACCTCACAGAGTAGATTTACGCAGCGCGTACCTGGGACACGATCCACAGACCAGGGAATAGAAGCTACGCCCTTTGTGGGCCTCTCCTCCCCGCAACGAGACGCCCGTCAGGTCTCGAAACCTGGAGCTCAGAAGCGCCGGGCCCATCCAGACAGGATGTGAACGTTGGCCATGGCGCCAACGAGTGCCCTGCAACATCCACGCGATAGCGTCAACCCCACCAGAAGCAAACACCAGCGGTCCGAGCACGGAGGCTGGGTCGACACCCGCCGTGAATCAGCGTCTCCCTCGTGCCCCTCGGTTAAGAAGGTCTGTTGACCCGACCGTAGTGCCTGCGTGACTTCCCACATCCACAGACACAGCCGATCGCCCCGGCCGCATCTGGTACACGGCGTAGGGGGGTGAAGTGTTTGCGCGCTTGCCCCCCAATTACCCGAAACGTACCCCACGCCCTTCTCTACGCTGAGCGGGTATCCATCTGTATGAACGCTCCATACACTGAACGCATCGTGAGACATACGACCTGCGCGGCCATGCACTCTGCCGTGCCTCCCAGGAGCCCACGGATGTGGCGACAGCCGCGCAGATCGCGGCCCCGAGGGAGCCGCGAGGTTCCAAATGATACGCGTAGCCCTCACCTCCGCGGTGCCTCCAAGAAACCCACGGAAGTGGGGACAGTTGCGCAGTTCGCTTCCCCCGAAAGAGCGGACAGGATGCAGGTGGAGGTAGACGGAGGGAGACGGGCAGAGAGTGGGAGAAGGCCAGAGGAGATGAGCGACCAATGTTCTGTTCAAAAGGCCAACACAGGAGGGTTGGGAACAAAAGTATGGTGAAGGCCCTTCCCAAACTATCGAATGGCATTCGGCCCATTCCGCCACCGTGATTGTGTCTTGGGTATGCAGCATAGTGGATGTTTGTTGTGATCTCGTGGGGGGCCTCTCGAGGGCCTCTTGGAGGAAGCTTGGAGGGCCTCTTGGGGACCCTTTCGGGGCCTCTTGGGGCCTCTTTTGGGCCTCGTGGGGGCCTCTTAGGGCCTCCTGGGCGCCTCCTGGGGCCTCCTGGGGGCCCCATTGGGCGAAAAGAAAGCTCAGATGTTCGGTTTGTGTTTGTTCCATTTCTCGGGCTCCATTCTGGGACCGTCTTAGGGGCCCTCTTGGGCGGTTTTGGTCGCGTCTTGGGGCGCCCTTGGGCCGTCTTCGGGCCCTCTTGGAGGCCTCTTGGGCCGTTTGGGGGTTGGTAGGGCCTCTTGGGCCGTCTTGGAGCGTCGGTAAGTTGAAAAGGCGAGAACGCCAACATCTATCAAAAACCTCAGGCAATTCGATGATGTTTGCCTCTTGGGGCCTTCTGGGGAGGCCTCTTGAAGGCCTTTAAGAACGACTTGGAGGCCTCTTGGGCCGTGTCGGGGCCATCTGGGGCGGGGCGTCGTGGGACGATCTTTCGGCGGCCCGGGGCCCTCTTGGGCCGTTTTGGGAGCCTCCGAGGTGGGCCCGTCTTCGGGCCTTCCTGGATTTCCGGACAAGTAGAGCGGCATGACGCGACAGGCCCCAAGAGGTTTCGGAATTTGGGCTCGGGTCTCCTCAGAGACTCCTCAGAAGTGAGGGTGGAGGTTCCAGGGAATGGGCAAAGGACCTGAGAACAGGCCCAGATGCACGGTGGCGGATGGACGTGATCAAGTGTAGATCCCGTCTTGTCCAGAAGATGCCGGAGACGATGCTTCTGAAGGCCAGTCGAAGTTTTCTTGAGGCAAGCCCTGATACATCGGGGTACGCGTTGGCTCCACAGTGGCAGCAGAATGCGCACGGCCCCACTCGTCGCACAGCGTGGCCTGTTAGCAGAGGAGGGAGGCGGAGGGGAGGGGGAGGAGGAGGAGGCAGGAGCCCATATAACAGCGATATCACATCTGCAGAGCGCTGTCGGGATCGGGCCCAGGCCTGCAGAGCCCTCCTCCTCCCCCCCCTCCTCCGCCCCCTCCTCCCTCGTCCTCCTTCTCCCCCTCCTCCTCCTCCTCCTCCTCCTCCCCCTCCTCCTCCTCCTCCTCCTCCTCCTCCTCCCCCTCATCCCCCTCCTCGCCCTCCCCTCCTCGGGTCGCCCACGGCCCCGGTGGAAACCGTCCACCGCAGGAGTGATACTGTCGGAAATTGTGGGCAGCGTGTCGCTCCGCTGGTCCTGGCCCACCGCGCTTTGGCGCGACACGCTATCCACTTCGCGGTCCCGAAGCGTCCATGTCCCGAGCCTCGCCCAGCGTCCCCGCCCCGCGGAGCGGAGCGACACACCACCCGCTTGCAAGGCGTGGCGTGTCGCCGTGGCCGCCGTGGCGACACGCCCTCCAAACATTCCTGACTGGGTTGAGATGGGCCTGGGCCCCGTGCAGGTTGCGGCGAGGACGATGGCGGCAGCACCCCCGCGCCCGTACACGCCGGTCGTTGAAAGCAGGTATTTCTGGACTCCCACATCCCAATCTACTTCAAGCGCCTTCCTACCTCAAGAGTCGATCTTCGTTGTTGTTCTCTGGGAGGGCCTGAACCCAATCGACTCCTTCTCCGCCTTCCTACTTCATGTTTTTACCCACTACTTCCGGTCGGCGTGTACAGCCGGGCCGGGCTTGACCCGTCGTTCCTCAGAGTGGCGTCGGGGAGGGGTGCCAGCTAGTTGCAGTCGGGACGGCCTTTTGTTCAGTGGGCCTGCGCCGTTCCGCCGACCCCCAGAGGAGGGAGCTCGCGACGACCGCGGAACCCGTCCTCGTCTCTCGGGCCTGGATACACGGGCCCACACTGTGGCCCTCTGTCACCACCTACCAGACCACCCCAACCCAACCCGAAGGCCTCGATTTGCCCTCCATTTCCAGTGGGGGGGGGGGGTCGGGGAACGTTGAAAAAACACATGGAACCCGTACCCCCCCCAACCCGAAATTCGGGTCAAATTCGGGTCTTCGGGGTTGGGTTGGGGTGGTCTGGTAGGTAGTCACTCTTGGGGCGCATTCTGGGTCCTACGAGGGCCACATTATGGGTCCTATTCGGCGCCTGCTGTCGGCCTCGGCGGTGCTCCTGGGGCGGAGGTGTAGCCAGTTGCAGTCGGGATGACCTCCTCCTGGACCATGGGGCACACGAACAAGACTGCTAGCCGTGGAAAACCCACGCCAAAGATGACGTCGAGCGTCACCGGTCTGCTCATGATTGATGAAGTGCCCAGGATGTCGGAAGTTTGGGCGTAATCGTTTCTTCTGAGGTGCGGGTGGGACAGTTGGGTTGAGGAGTTTATACGCGGCGTCTCATAATTTGCGATTGATTGCACATCAGCAAATCATCTACAGCACGGTGACTTTCCTGAACGAGGAGGACATCGTGCACGCCGCCTTGGCGGTGCTGAAGTAGGTTCGCGTGAGGGCTATTGGCTGTCATCGTGTCACGCCCTCAGCACTCGGAGCCCTCTGGTTCCAGATCCCGCGCCCCCCGGTCACACTCTTCGGATGGTGTCGTTGCAGGGCAGTCGCTGTTGGCCTCCCTCCCCCGGGGGCCCCGGCGACGAGATCTCTGTGCGCGCCCACCGCTCCCGGGCAGGTCGATGCCGGGCCCGGGGTCTGTGCATGCGCCTCCCTGGCCGAGCCGGGGGGGCGTGCACACGGGCCTCCGGGGCCAGGGTGGGCCGAGCCCAGGAGCGGGAGAAGCGTCCCGGGCCTGGCGCCCCGGGGGCCCTCCGACCCAGATCTCGGCGTGCGCGGGGGGCGCGCAGGAGCGGCCGCGTGGACGGGGCCGGACGGGGTGGGCGGTCCACAGCGGCGAGGCCTCTGCGAGCATCCGATCGGCGAGCCCGCACGGGCGGGGCTCTGCTGCGTGCGGGACCCGATCGGCAGAACTCCGCGGCCAGCAGCTGGGTCGGCTGGGTGTCTGAGGTGGCCCAGCACCGATTCGGGCCGGCATGGAACGGGGGTGAGGTTCGAGGTTGTGGGTTCGGGGGGGATTTGTTGTTGTTGTTGGTGGTGCTGTTGTTGTTGTTGTTGTTGTTGTTGTTGTTGTTGTTGTTGTTGTTGTTGTTGTTGTTGTTGTTGTTGTTGGTTGGCCGTTTTCTGTCTCTGGGGGCCGTTCTCGGACCCAGGCCGTCAGAAATGGATATGGGGTGACAAGTTGCACCTGATAGACCCCGGGAGTGATTCGGGGACAGATGTTGAGCTAATTGTCGGGAGTGGACAGAACCCCCACCCTGACACGTCGATGAGTGAATGGTCCGTTTTCGGTTCTCGAGAGGGCGCCGCGGCCGTCATTCTCCAGGCTTGCGCCCGCCAGGCTTGGGCCCGGGGTCGTTTTCACTGAACCACGTTTCACGAAAAGGGGGGCTCTGCCCATTCCCGACATTTGCCTTCACTACTCTCTATTGGCAGATGCTCTCGGGGCCCAACCAGCTAAGGCCCCCAGGCCGCCTCCAAGCCAACAGCGGCCAACATGCAAACCTTCCTGGGGAATGCGAAGGGCTGAGTCGCAGCACGCCGCGTCAACGAGCCAGTCGGTGCGCACAGAAGTTGAAGGCACGATTCATGTAGTTCTGCAGGTCTGTGTTGCCCCGCCACTGTGTCACGATTGCTAGCTGTTGTCTATGTGACTGTTCCACCCGGATCTGTCAGTATTCGTTCGCACATGCTTCTGCAGTCTGAATGTTGTCATGGTGTGCAAACACTTGTGCCTTATGTACAGGGCGGTAGTTGTATTTGAGCGTAGCTATTTGTTGCCCGCGTTTTTTTAGGCCACGCTTTACTGAAACGTAAAGGTCGGCGCATTGCATCCAGCTGCCTGCGGCAAACCCTGTCACCGCGCCAGCGCAGTAGCTCAGTATGAAGGAAGTTAAGGTAAATCCCTGGTCCAGGTCGTTGCTCTCTTTCTCTTTCTCTCTCTCTCTCTCTCTCTTCCTTTCTCTGTTTTGTTCCCCTCTCTCTCTCGCTCTCCTTCTGAACTAGCGCGTGTCTTAATGATACCCTTTCTGTTCGCAGCCTCGTCCTTTCCCTCTTCCTCCATGTTAAGGGCCTCTTGGGCCTCTAGGGAGCACGTCGGGGGTCCTGGGGCCGTCTTGGGCGCGAAAGTGCCAACGAACCCTCTCGAAAGGCTCGGTTGAATCATCTTGGGGGCGTCTTGGCGTGTCTTGTGGCCGTCTTGGAGTGCTATTGTTGCGTCTTGTAGTCGTTCGGGGGCGGCCGTTGGTGTTTTGGGAGCCGTCCAGAGACTGAGCACGGAGCATGTGAGCAACATTGAGATGGGGGTTCGAGGGATGGTCGTGCCTGGGAAGGGGGGCCTTGACTACATACAGAAGCCCTACCAGATGATTAACACTCATTCTAATTGTCCACGCGCGCACAAGCGCGATGGCGGATTTGGGAGATGGCAGACCGGATGAGTTTTTTGACCGTCTTGCATATTTATAGGTGCAGGCGTGTAGCTCTCTGAGCCTCTTCGTGCGTGCCCGAGTGAAACAGGTGAGCATTATGCTATGATGTGAGCATCCGGATGTCAGCAGCTCTGCAATGTTGTCGTGTTCATTGTCAGCATTCTCCCAACATCCTCTCGGTCGTTTGTGATATGTGACGCTTGTTCTTTTGTTGCCGAATAGTTGTTTGTCCTGACTTGCGATCCGAATGAACTGGCATTTACCAGGTGAATTGGTTTCATGTCCAGGGGCATACCCAACCCTCTGAACACGTTTGGCAACAACACGGGGCAGGGGATCTCGTTGGGAGAATGCGTGTAGGCCGCCGCGCTAAGCAGTTGAGGGGTTCAGGGAGCGGCGAGATTTCGGTGCCCGGCAATCATGGAATCACATTGGGGGGTCTCAGAGCCCGAAGATCAGGAGTATGTAGGCGGAGGCACGGGGAGTGAGGACCAGAAGATGGGACAGGGAGGCGGGACAGTGCGTGTGGTTCTTGTTCGAGTCCGCGTAAGGCCGCTCTCCGCTGGAGCCCAAGGGGGGCTCATGCAACTTGTGACGACCGTGCGTCTGGCAGCACCCCGGCGGGGGGGTGGGCCAACTGCAATAGTCTGGGCTTGCGCAAAGCGCCACTCCGTCTGGACACCGAAGGGCACCGTCGCTTGTACCTGCGCGAGACGCTAGTTCTCTGCACCTCTGGGCGCAACAGAGCAGCGTCATTTCTGCACGCTCGGCAGCACCTGGGGTCAGCAAAGATCGCCGTCTGGAACTGAACGCGAGGAGCGTTTCCGCACGAACCTACAGGCCCGCAGCAACGCGGCTGCGAGTGTGCACTTGGAAGCACCAGGGAGTGTGAGGGTGATACAGTCAATACACTCCAGAATAATGACCACGTTGGGCGAAGAAGGGGCTCTGGTTTTCGGTTCAGGCCGTTTCTCAGAGTTAGATCGGGGCGCCTATTGGCGGCCGAGGCTCGCCGTGGCCAGAGGAGATCTTCCGTGCCTTGTTCGGCGTCCCCGATGGTAACCCGATGATTGTAGTTGGGATCCATCTGCGAAGCATGTCACTGCCTTGAAGTCGGGCCCGTCCCTCTACAGGAGGAAGATTCAAGAATAGTCAAAAAATAGTATGGGGACTATTTTTTAGTATTTTTTACGATTTGGGATTATGTTTTTGATATTTTTATGTTTCGTCAAAAATCCCCCTGTAGGGGGGCACGCCCGACTTAACACTGCCTGACCGCCGGACCCCTCCAGGGGGCACCCCACCCATACACGCAGTGTTCCAGGGACGGCGCACGGCACCCGGGAGAGGCCAGCAAGCGGAGAGAGGGCGGCAAACGGAGAGAGGGCAGCACAGAGAAGGGACAACGAAGAGAGAAGCGGAAGACGCCCCCAATCTGCACGAACGACATGGGTACGGAAAGAATGGGTACAATGCCCAACAGCAGTCCCTGTTCATTTTGAACAGGACTCGCTGTCCGCGCCGCCGCGGCCTGTGTCCATTTGAGACAGAGTCACCAGCCTCGAACTTACCCCGATCCCTAAGATTGGCACGCCAAAAGGCGATGACAATCTTAGGGATGCGCCCTGAAAAACTATCCCTAAGATTGCCATCGTGATGAGGCGATGCCCAACATAGGGATAGGGATATGTTCCAGGCTGGTAAACAGAAGGCCGCATGCCTAACAGCGGCCGCTGTTGGTTTGGGACATCAATTGTTGCATTGTACCCATGTTTTCCGTACCCATTTTGGACGTCCAAACACAAGGACGGCTCGGAAGAGGCAGGTAATGGGCGCTTGGTTTCGTGATGGGTCTTGCCACGATGATTGCTGGCTCTCGGTTCTACCTGCGCCAGGCACGGGTCGGCCAGCTCTTGTTACACCGTTGCAGGCTATATGTGAGAGTGACCGTTCGCTGGAGTGACGTATGATGCGCGGCTTTCGGGTTGTCACGGGGGGGGGCTCACCCAAGCGCGCACGCCCCTATTGTCGCGTCGCCGAGTTCTTCCTTGGCCCTTTGGCTGGCCAGACGAATTGGTGTATACGTGGAGCCACTCCTAATGTTGCATGCTTTTTTGGGGGGAGGGCATGCAAAGGAGCTCCCTGCCTTCTCAGGCGTCGCCTCCCACTCCCTCTTCCATTCTGCGCGCCGGCAGCATGCGGGGCGTCCAGAGGGCTTGGGAGCGCGGGGTTATTGGCCATGGCGCATCCGTTACATTCGACAGCGGATGAGACGAAAACGAGGCAGACGAATTTTCGTGCCTTCGGGTGCTCGAGGTAGCACGAAGAAAACCACGGCGAGGCAGGCAGGGACCCCGAGACCAGGTAGGCATCGAGAATGCGTGCTGCAGCTCCGAGGCAGCTGCTCGAGGACGAACGCCGCCAATGTTCCGTGACGAGGCGGTCCTCCTCCTCCTCCTCCCTCCTCCTCCTCTCCTCCCTGTCCTCCTCCTCCTCCTCCTCCTCCCTCCTCCTCCTCCTCCTCCTCTCCTCCTCCTCTCTCCTCCTCTCTCCTCCTCCTCCTCCTCCTCCTCCTCCTCCTCCTCTCCTCCTCCTCCTCTCTCCTCCTCCCTCCTCCTCCGCCTCTCTCCTCCTCTTCCTTTTCCTCCTCCTACATCCATCCCACCCTCCCTCCCTTCCTCCCTCCTCCTCCTCCCCCTCCTCCTTCCTTTTCTCCTCTCCTCCTCCTCCTCCTCCTCCTCCTCCTCCTCCACCTCCTCCTCCTCCTCCTCAAGGGGCGGGCCTTCTCAGAAGGCTCGGCAGTCTCCCAGCCTTCCAAGATGTTTTGTCCGAGCTTTCCCCGAAGATACCAAAGCAGCTTCTCTGGATTCCGAGGGGGCCTTCTGAGACGCCCCGCCGCCTTCTGAGGAGGCCTTCTCCTTCTGACTTCCCCGAAAGCACCTAGCAATTTGACAGAGGCCCGGGGTCTTCTGAGAGGCCCCGCCGCCTTCGCGGAGGCCCT